AGATAAGTCAGGATGGAAGGAGTAGTAGGGATATAAAGCAGAGGATAGCGCAGGGTCGTGTCGCCTTTAATAAAAAGAAGTCACTTCTATGCTCGCGAACGATTAATTGAGAAATTCGAAAAAGGTTGTTAAAGGTGTATGTTTGGAGTGCGACGTTGTACAGGTGCGAAACATGGACAGTGGGAGCGGCGGAAAAAAAAGGTTAGAAGAAAAGTGGTGTTATAGGCGAATGATGAGGTTAATGTGGGTAGAAAAGGTTAGAAATGAAGAGGTATTAGAAAGAATAGGAGAACAGAGGACTCTATGGAAGTTAATAAGAAATAGGCGAGATAGGTTAGTAGGACACCTTCTCAGGCATTAAGGTCTAGTCAGAGACATATTAGAATAGGAGTTAGGAGAGGTAGAGGTAGACCTAGATTAGATTACTCTTCGCTTAAGTTAAGGATGTGGGCTGTTCTAGTTTTAGGGAAATGCGAAGTTTAGCTCAGGATAGGAAAGAGTACGTGTCCAGCCAGTCTTAGGACTGATGACCTTATGATGATGATGATGATGATGATCATACATCCTCCTTTTTTCCATTAATTGCAAGACTTGGTTGTATTCCAATGAATAAGTTATTCCAAATATTTCAATTTCTCAGTTTTCACAAGAAATTAAATCAAGGAATTCAAGTAATTTGAAAAAAGCGTTTGTCGACTTTTAAGGTCTGTACTTAGGCTGATGGTAAACATTTTGTTTTTGTGAAAACTATGACTAGATCTGATTTCTATTATGTCTACAACGTGTGTTAAAATTAAAATTGTTTCTTACCCTTCTTCTTAGAGAATGGATGCTCTCTTAAAGTGTAATTGTGCACAAATATTTTCTAATTTCTTATTCTTTAATTCGTTTAAAAATTGAGAACTTTTGACAGAACTCAGATAATGGAAGGTGAATAAATACCAAATTTTTTTGCCCTTCCACAATCCCCCAAGAGCGACTTGTATGTACTTTCTTTACTTTTTGTACCATTTTCTCACTCACCCATATTTTATTTGTTATTGCTTTATCTAAATTTCTCCCTTTGTTATAAATTTAATAACCGTATAGTATTAATTACTCGCACTATAAATAATTCTGTGGCTTTTGTTGGCTGTTAACGATTTTATATTAAGTGATAACGGTGATGTAATAAACGGCTCCATTTTCTCCCCTTCTCTCGAGTAGCTAGGGATCAATATTAACGACTCAAAATACATAGCTATAGACCCTAGAGAAGTGTATCTTACTTTTTATTACTTTTTTACTCAATTTTTGTGTGTGATACCAACTTTAAAAATTCATAATGAGACGTAACTGTATACAGAAATATTCAATTAAACCTTTGAAGATCATACAAAATAGGAAAGGACTTTTCAGGTTTAATAGTTATCACCTATGTACTTTTGCTAGCACCTATCACTTCATTTAAAGTGAAAAAGATGTAAGACAAAATGAGGCGCTCTTCCTCTAGCTTCTTAATGTGATTTTGATCAATTCAATTCTCACTAAATGTGAATAACTGTACTTAAATTTTCGTAGACGTATAATACGCGTGAAGAGTGGCTCTGTTACGCTGCCTAATTAGTGACAGAAGATAATTAATAAGCCAATTGCATAAGTTATTGCTTTCTGAAACATTAGCTAGCGGCTTCGTTCGATCTTGTACTGATAACGAACCTCGGCTTTTCTATTTACGAAATTAGCATCATTGGCAGTCGAGTTATTTATTGCTGTGGAAACGAATCGACAGGTGGCCTATCGGATCACTTGTTAAAGTCCCTTGTACTTTCGTGTGTGTCGTCGTTTTGTTGCACGTACCACAATGGAATTTTAATTTTATCCTCATGTAGATGTGTATGTAGATAGTGCGTCTGCGTCAATGTTTTAGCACGGGATTACAATGCGAATTCTAATTTTGAAAAACTTTTACTTCAAACTGCTTTGGCATTTATATGCCATTCATGAGGAATTAGCTATCTTAAGTACCTAAGCCGCTAACATCACGTACATACTTGGGACCCAAGGACTCTTGATCCCTTTCGAAGTCTTTTAGAATTAGACCTCTCAGTTACCAAGGGATCCATGTGATAATTTTGAGCAACCCCCTCAAAAATAAAGTATAATCAGTACTATCATATAAAAGTTAATTGTGAAACATGATGTGAAACATATAATAAAAATTTTGATTTTCCTGTAAATATTAATTGCTGATACAATAGATACAATAATTGGTGTAGTTACCAGAAGGCAACCTAAAAATTCACCTTAGTATCTTTTATTTTTCTCGAACCATTAGATTAAGTTGTTACTTGTAATTTTTGCCCTAAGAGTTGCTGCAGCCCCAACGATAGATAACTTAACGATTAGGTACCACATATTTGTAACTGTCTACATCATGTTGTATTGTTTATTTCTAGGTTTCCACGACAATACCGGCTCGTATTTCGCAGATTCTTCCTCCAAATTACTAGAATTCCATTGGTGTCGATATGATAAAGGACTTACAGTGCTCGCATGTGGTGAACAACTATTTCCGAAACGTATTGTACTTTTTTGTGTGATGATGGTGCCTGTAGTAACTTCGTCAACTCCAGGAGTCAGGAATTAGTCATTTGCGGTATGTATCTAATCCTGCTCAAACTTTATCGATTAGTTATACGATTTATACCATCATTTTGTCTCAATTTTGTGGATTTACTTTCTTGAGAACGATCACATTGGTAAACATTAGAGTCACCAGAATTGAGATGACGCGAGACACTTGATGGTCACAAGAACATGTATTACACCTGAAACTCTTAAATCACCTTAATATATCTACTGCAAGACAGAAGTACTAAATCCAAATAAAAACTTTTTAAAAATCACCTAATACTTAATGTCAAACTTAGTTATTAACATGCTTCATCTTTTAAGTAATGAAATAACAAACCACACAATTCTGTTACTAGAAAATAAATGAAATTTCATTTCCCTCTTTCGGAAAATTAGTTGGCGAATTTGTTTGTTTATTGTTCCTAGCAACTTTCACGAAATAAATTCTACAAACGAATTATGCTCCACTTTGAAAGAATTGACATAGAATACAGAATATATTTCACATTTTTTTATTTTTCATTTCATTTCAAATTCCAGAACACAAACGTCCTTTCGTTTTTGAAAATTTTCATGACTACCGTGAATTGTTTCTCAAGCTGTAGTACAATGCGTTTTTTATTTATTTAGTTTTTTTTCTTTAACTCTTGACATTCAAGACGAGAAAAATATCCCCGCGATACGGATGCTGTCGAGCAAAGTATCCTTTTTATCGTGTTGTGTAACGCGTTTAGCGCTGTCGTGAAGGTTGTTTTTATCTTTAATAAAAGTTTTTTGAGCGCTACGTTGTTGCCCAGGAGCAGTAATTAATTATTTTAATAAAATGATAAGCTTTCTCCGAAGAGCGAGGAGCAAAGGTAACATTCGAAGGCAGTGAATGAGAATACGTTTGTACATTTACATCAGTAGCGGCTATTAAAGTGAAGTAGAGGATTTTACCTATTTTCCGGATACTATCGGAATTTATTTCACAAGATGACTATAATTTCTGTTAGGGGTACATATGTAGTTATTTCTTATAATACAATAAATGAGGAGATTTCGTCGAAAAGTATGCACAATTGTTCTATCCGCTTAAAGCGCTTACTAATATTTCAAATAGCCCTTGAATCGTCATTGTAATGACCTTTGTATAGGTAATAACGGCGGAAGTGAAGAGCTAAGCGCGTGGGCGCCGCACCTCTGCTAGCTGAAAAGATGGCAGCATGTCGATCAACCTACTGCACTTGCATGTTCTTTGAACATACTTATACCTTAACGCGAAGTATTAATACTGATACGACAAATTCCCTCGCATATACCCGAAATAAAAATGTTCAGTCTCCCAGAGTTTGTGAAAGCGAGACTCGAGTCTCCGTCTCTCATCTAGTCTCTCTTGTGTCGCTGAGAGAGACTGTCAAAAAAACTGTTTAGCGTCTCTGAACGAGAGACTCGAGTCGCTCATAGAGAGATCCTCATTTCGTATTCAGTCTCTGAACGAGAGACTCGAGTCGCTCATAGGAAGATCCTCATTTCGTATCCAGTCTCTGATTAAGAAACTCGAATCTCTCAATAAGTGGTGTCTCGATAGACATGATTAAAACTTTCTAAGTTAAACATATTTCAGAGATCCCAATCTTTCAACGAGACCCGAGTTTCTCAATTTTTCAGTTTTATTAATTCAGTCTCTCTGTGAGAGACTCGAATCTCTGAATTAACGATTTTATCGTTCGAGTCTCTCATACAGAGACTGTGAGAGATCCATAAAAACACCTAGGCAATAATTGAGAGACTGTGAGAGACGCTCTCAGAGACGCTAAAAGACTTTGAGAGACTGAAACTTTTTGTCTACGGTATTCTGAGGAATATTCAAGGGTATACAGCACCTAATTTTACGGTTAGTTTTTTTCGGCTTTTGTAATTTTTCGCCTGTTTCTGAAGGCACGAGTCGCCACTGATACACATAGCTTGGTAACGTAGAACCTTTAAGGTTCAACGGAACCATATCGATGGCGTGATGATTAGCAAGTGGCTGGAATTGCACGCCGAGCCCCGGTAATTGCACCTCGGCGCGTTTTTGGCAACGAACGGCAATTTCGGAACGTGTTGACAACGTGTATTGTGGGTATTTTGCTCGTAAATTTCGAATGCAGAATTGAAATTACTGTAATTATTAATTACGTGTACCTACCGAAGGGGCAACTAAACGTAACGAGACTGTATCCCGGAGAAAAGATGGAATCAGGTGTTCAACTCTAGATGACACATATTACGTTGATATACGCAATCGAAACTTCTCATCAGCAGTTTCGGAAAGAAAGCATTAATAATATTATTTATTGCCGGTTAACAACGCTCGATCTTATCAAAAAATTACAAGTTTCGCAACTGCTTCTTTTATTGCAAATATTCACTTTATTGACTCGTTAAGTATTTTTAAAAAGTTTCAGATTTTCGCATGCTGTTCTTGACGAATAAATGAAAGTCAGCGTAAAATTGTTGATAAAACAGTTGAGTCTGTCGCATGAATGAAGTAACTCCAATAGCGAAAATACAATTTTATTAACAAATCACTAAATCTTCTATGAATGGTTAATCTAAACAGATGATTAACGCCCAAGGCATCAGAAGCTGCTTCGGTAGCCGACATTCTGTTGAGATAATCTATGGCGTGCTGATGGGAACAAACAAATTCGAATTCGCAAGCCACAAATCCAGAATGCTGACCAAAATCATAATGTTTATACCAAATAGGTACAAAAAAAAACAATGAATGAAGAGTTTTAACCACACAATGACAATCGTTCCTGCCCATAGTACCTCTCAACAACAACACTGAACTGACTAATTCGACCATCACCATGGTCATGTAGTAGACCCAAATCGTTTAGCTCGATACATGTTTTCTGGGTGTGTAGCAACTACCCCGTGCTTAAGTGTGAAACTACTCGATGTTACAACATACAACAGGAACAAAATTGTAGACGATACCATGCGTGGTTGTGTGTAGTTGTCGTTGTTTGTGTTGTTTAAGGCCCAGCCAGGGCTCCTTTGTTTCAAACACTTTCGACGGTCGACAGCGTACGCCCTTACACTGTATGTACTGAAGGAACAATACGTGTATTACCATATTAATAACGACTAGATTGTCTGGTATTTAGCTTCGAAAACAATAGTCCACTTGTCGAGCGGCCACGACTATACACGATAAATTATTCATTGATGATCAAGGACGAACGAAACAGCAGAGCCATCTACATACAAGAAAGTAGTGGTAAACTAAAGAATCATCATCACCATAAGGTCGTTCAGTCACTGGTTGGATACGTACCTCCACTCATTCCTATCCTGAGCTAAACTTCGCATTTCCCTAAAAATAGAACAACCCACATCCTTAACTATTTGCGAACAGTAATCTAAGGTAGGTCTACCTCTACCCTTCCTAACTCCTATTCTTGCCTCTAATATGTCTCTGACTAGACGTTAATGTCTGAGAAGGTGTCCTACCAACCTATCTCGCCTATTTCTTATTAGCTTCCATAGAGTCCCCTGTTCTCCTATTCTTTCTAATACCTTTTCATTTCTAACCTTTTCTACCCACATTATCTTCATCATTCGCCTATAACACCACATTTGGAAGGCTTCTAACCTTTTTTTCCGCCGCTCCCACTGTCCATGTTTCGCTCCTGTACATCGCCGCGCTCCAAACATACACCTTCAACAACCTTTTTCGAATTTCTAAATTAATCGTTCGCGGGCATAGAAGTGACTTATTTTTATTAAAGGCGACACGATCCTGCGCTATCCTCTGCTTTATATCCCTAGTACTCCTTCCATCCTGACTTATCTGACCTCCTAGATATCTAAAATCAGCCACTTCTTCTAATTTTTGTCTCCTATCTTTATATTCGTTCTTTCCTTACTTTTCTTCCCTTGCATACCAGTATTTTAGTTTTACTCTTATTTACTTTCATACAGTACTGATCTGTCAGTACCGCTTCCATTTTATTTAAAGCTACCTCCAAGTCGTCATTGGTAGATGCTAAAGAATAATAAAAATAAAAAATATTTATTTACAACATTAAAAAAAAATAGAAAATCAAAAAATTTGTAATGAATTTATATCGATGACCTCTGCATTTCCATGGGCCTAATTCTGTCTTTTCCATTTCCCTATTGCGCTTTGCCAGCATTTAATAATCCTTAATGTTAAGACCACCCTTACAATATTGTTTCAGTCAAATCCCCATCTTCAATGAGAATAAGAATAACACAATATTATGCAGTTTTGTAGGCACAACATGAGACATGCTTGACAATATATTCAGATACATGCTCGGAAGGCATCGATACTTAAGACGCATTGATCGTAGTTGTTTTGACAATAACAGTAGCTCGTCGTCGTACGCATAAGGTGAAGCATGAGCTACATAAGCGGTGCAGGTAATTTTTTCTTAAATAATTTACTGACTATGTTCAGTGATCAATAATAATTATTACTTTTAGAAAGTACTTAGGTATTTTACTGTTTAAAGTTTGTTGTTTCATACGAATGCACGGCTTTAACCTATACATACGTATAATCCGAAGTTATTGATTAAACGTATCTCATAGATAGAAATACCCTCACGATCGATGAAGGCTTTACACTTATTAATGTTGCACGTTAACAAATGTATTGGTAGATTGTGTCCTAGTTTGCAAATCAGTATAAAGAAGTGTACGTGACGGGCGTTAGGAGAGCAACGAGATCTATGTAAATGTATGGACATTGTACATATATTCACATACATTATGTAAGATGCTGAAGGATCATAACTTTACCTTTAATGATTCGTTAAGTTTATCTTAAAGGAATACGCATCTATGTCCATATACGTATGTATCTAGCTGTCTTTCTAAATGTATTTATTAATAGAAACCAGAGTACGAGACCTTTGTGGAAAAGAAATTTAACAAATTGACAAAGATAAACGCATGTATCTAAAAGTACGTAATAGAAGAATTTGCTTGTGAAATAATTGGCAAAACTAAGGAACGAAA